CATGAGCATCAGAGCTGGAACATGGAGCAATGGAAGAAGGTGGTCTGATCCGATGAATCATGTTTTCTTTTACATCATGTGGACGGTCGGGTGCGTGTGCATCGCTTACCTGAGGAAAACTTATTGTTTTCATACTCTGCTGTTCGTATTTCATTTTGAATCTCTCTATTTCTCTTTCTCTCTCTGTCTCTCTCTCTCTCTCTCACACACACACACACAATCATTTCATTCAATATCATACCATCTCTTCATCTTGTTCCCCCTCCATTCCTTTGACTCTTATATTTATCTCTTCTCCATTCCCTTTAGGCCAGAAAATACAAAAGCCAATTTTACCCTGGTGTAACAACTTAGCAGGCACTTTTGATTTCTTGAACCAGGAAAGACATTCAAGAGCAGAGGCTCATGTTAGACAATGAGTTGTAGGGTGCATTTAGTATTCAACAAAGCAGAGCATTTTTCTATGTCACTGACAGTATATTTCTGTGTTGCTGATGACATAATTCTATGCCAAAACCTGCTTTTTTTTATTTTGGTTCCATGATGCTGGAAAGAATTGCCCTGTTTCCTGACACCCTTCAAGTAACGCCTGAAGACTCAGCTCTTCTCAGAGCACTTGAATGTCACTGTTGAATGAAAGCCTCCAGCACTCTGCCACTGATTGATGTCCAGCTAGGTGTCCAGTTTGACCAGGCTCTTACCTTTTCAAGTGATTAATTGACCTTGTTCCTGGCCTTTTTATTTATTAGCCTTTTTGTTTATAGTTATTTATAGTTTGCCTGTTGAATTTGTGGCTTGTGTTTATAGAACTGCTAGGTACTCACACGTACTCCAACCATTGTGGCTTTTTCTGTCTCTGTGTGAGTGTGTATTTTTAGTTCAGTTATTTATGTTCGTTCTACAACAGATCTATATCTTACACATATTTTTCCTCAGTTGGTTAACATTTAGACTTGTACCACTGTTGTTTCCTTAACATAGGTTCTACCTCACTTACTGTATCAATCACTTTCATTATAATTGTGACTCAATTGAATAAATGTATTAGTAAGTAGTTTTAGGCAATTTGACAGTATGATATCATGATATCATGATATATAGTACAATTTTCTGTTTCACCTATTATTGTAGGTGTCATTGGAAAAATCCACCCTTAACAACCTGCATATCAATCTTTATAATTAACATGTGATCTTTAGTGATGTCCATTGATATTCTGAATTGACTTTTTGGATTAAAATTCTTTCATCATCATGTTTCCTCATTTGTTTTCATTTTGTTTAATCGTACATTACCCTCAATGCTGTTCAACTGCCTGCTGATAGTGGCACCAGTGGGAATTCATCTCTACCTTAAAGACAGCAGCAGCAGCTCTGAAATCCTTTAATCATTAATCAACTCTCTCACCTCCTTATCTGTGCACACTCTGCTCAAATAGATCAGGTTCCAAAGCTTCCGCTTGCATGCTAATACCACCGTCAACACCATCACGCTTGTCATCTCGTATATCGCTAACTAGCCGAGCCCAGTGTTGTATAGCTTCTGGGACTTTAAGTCCAATGTTTGCTGTCTCCACTATTTCTACACACACTGTTATCCCTTATGTTTGAGATTGTTGAAATTTTTCTCCTATTAAATGCCAATGTAACTGCGCTAGCATTGGCTTCCTGGAACATCAGATAACCACCAACTTCTCACAGGAATAACGAAAATACAGCGCCAGCCAACAGATTAGCACCAGAATTGCTAAGCAATTTTTTTTTTTACAAATATTTCAATATAATCATACACTATATGGCCAAAAGTTTGTGGACATCTGACCATCACACTCATATTCAATTCAATTCAATTCAGTTTATTTGTATAGCGCTTTTTACAATGTCATTGTCTCAAAGCAGCTTTACACAAACAAAAAAGTAAGATGAAGTGCGAGAGTGTGTCTGAAGAGCAAGCCGAGGCGACGGTGGCAAGGAAAAACTCCCTGAGATGGAGATAGGAAGAAACCTTGAGAGGAACCAGACTCAACAGAGAACCCATCCTCATATGGGTTAACAGGAGTGTGTGTGTGTGTAAATGTGTATTTGTGTAGTCCATAGAAAACA